CTTTTGTAAGAGTCTCTGTGAAGGCTGCAAACATTGCATTCGACTCCTCTAGAAGTCCACTGATAAAAGGTATTTTGTTGTTGGTGGATGGCTTAAGGCCCTGTATATTAGCAAATATGAACGAGGTTGTATTCTGTGTTTGTTGGGGGATTTTGTTATTGGCATCAATAGTTGTAATTCTGGAGGGCCATGGGTGGCCACTGGCTGCGCCTCCAGTCCAACAAGGCTCCAAGGTGGTGGACTATTTTTGTTATTTCCTTCCATTTTCTTTTTTCGTTTCCTGCCACTAAAAAATCACCTGGAGTTGGGTTGTCGTAGCTACTATTGTTTGTCTTGTGGGGTCTGTGCCTCCTGGTCCCTTTTAGATGGTATGCAGGGCACTCGATGTTGTAACACTGCTTCTGGAGGACCGAGGAGTGGCACATTTTTGGGTGAAAGAAAGTACAGGAAGAAGAACGACACACTCCTTTAGTGCTTTAGTGCTCCTATGTGGTGCTTGTCTAGTCAACCAGGCTGTTGCTATTGGCGTCCCGCTGGCCCACAAATCCAACACAGCATGGTTGATCCGGCGCTATGTGGAGATACTTATCCACTTGCTTGTTGAAGACTTCTACACTTGTCTCTGCAGTTTCTGATATCTCCTGATAAGATGTTGAATAGTCTGGGACCACGGAAGTTACTGTAACCTCCAGCTACTGGGGCCGAGTTTTGAGTCATCTGATGAGATAGTTGTTATATATCTGCCTCGCATCTATGTATGGAGACAGCGTCAACAGTGGGTCACTTCTTCTCCAAAACGTCAGGTGCACCTTCAACCATCGCATTGAATATGCACATGAGGCCCTGTGTACAATTTAATATAATCATATATACACTCTTTATTTTGTTTTGTTTGTGACCAATAGGCCCCTGGCTGCCTTCAAGAGGGAGCGGGACATACTTAAAGTCGGTGCCGGATCAGACGGGGCTGTGGTTCGTACGTTGGACTACGTGCGGCCAGCAGTAACAGGTTGGTTGATCAGGTCCTGATCCACCGGGAGGCCTGGTCGTGGACCGGGCCTCGGGGGCGTTGATCCCCGGAATACCCTCCAGGTAGACTCCAGGCCAGACAGGTAGTATTTGTAGAAGTAATGTTGTGGTAAGTGGTATTAATACGAGGCAAGTGAGTTGGTTACTTAGATGTTATGGCGTGTTCTGTTATCCAGGTACTGCACGCTGAGGTGGGTTTGACGGACTCTTGACACGTGCTTTGTTATGGAACACTGGCCAGAGGAGCCAGGTACCTTCCCTGGTGGTGCAGCCTTGCCCTGGGCAAGGTGGTGGCAGCTGTTAAATACTTCCTTCCACACACTTGTTTATCCAGGCCCAGACCTGCCATAAATGCGCCGCTCACCAAGCATTACCTAGGCTCGAGGATACGGATACATTACCACCTGGTAAAAATGAGCTTTTATTTTCTGGCACACTTCAGTAACAGTTTTGAACAGGATTTGCAAATAAACTTCGACTCCGTGCTGCAGGAACAGAAAAATGAATTAAAGATCAGCAATGTTGCCAAATATATCTCGGAGAAGGTTGGTGTTAGGATGGGCGGGCACTGAGTGGTAGTTCAAATAATGACTTTGGAAGAGAAGTGAAATATAATACAGGGTGTTTCAAAATGATGAAACCCAATTTCACAGCATTCTGCTTTGAAATTGGATCCATCTTTTTATAGCACCCTGTAGTTGTTTATGGGATTATTGCCATTACAAATATCTGTAAGAAGATGCTACTGTTTTGCTAGTATTAGTAAGCATATTAGAGAAGGTGTTTAACAGTTAAACCGGTTCTTAGCTGAAGTTTATCTGGAGAGTGATCCGAGGATCAGTGCCCCCACAGCTCGGTCCGGTGGATGGCCTGATCAACCAGGCTGTTGGTACTAGCTGCATTAAGTCCGACTAACGCTCCACAGAACAGTTGAGGAACTTGTAAATTTCCCTCTCTTGAAGACAGCCAGGGGTCTGTTGGTAATCTCCTTATATGGATGAAAGGAGTGTTGAAAAGTTTGGGTCCCTCCACACTTATTTTTTCCTTAGGGTACTCATTATACCCCTGGTATTTATGGGGCATTTTGTATGACCTTCCAATAGTACACGCGCGCGCACCTGAAGGGGGGGGGTCAGTGCCTGTGTAGTTCTGTCCTACACCAGGCCTTGGAGACCGCACCTGAAGGGGGGGGGTCAGTGCCTGTGTAGTTCTGTCCTACACCAGGCCTTGGAGACCGCACCTGAAGGGGGTGGGGTCAGTGCCTGTGTAGTTCTGTCCTACACCAGGCCTTGGAGACCGCACCTGAAGGGGGGGTCAGTGCCTGTGTAGTTCTGTCCTACACCAGCCTTGAGACCCGCACCTGAAGGGGGGGTCAGTGCCTGTGTAGTTCTGTCCTACACCAAGCCTTGGAGACCGCACCTGAAGGGGGGGTCAGTGCCTGTGTAGTTCTGTCCTACACCAGGCCTTGGAGACCGCACCTGAAGGGGGGGTCAGTGCCTGTGTAGTTCTGTCCTACACCAGGCCTTGGAGACCGCACCTGAAGGGGGGGTCAGTGCCTGTGTAGTTCTGTCCTACACCAGGCCTTGGAGACCGCACCTGAAGGGGGGGGGGTCAGTGCCTGTGTAGTTCTGTCCTACACCAGGCCTTGGAGACCGCACCTGAAGGGGGGGGTCAGTTCCTGTGTAGTTCTGTCCTACACCAACCCTTGGAGACCGCACCTGAAGGGGGGGGGTCAGTGCCTGTGTAGTTCTGTCCTACACCAGGCCTTGGAGACCGCACCTGAAGGGGGGCGTCAGTGCCTGTGTAGTTCTGTCCTACACCAGGCCTTGGAGACCGCACCTGAAGGGGGGGGTCAGTGCCTGTGTAGTTACGTCCTACACCAGGCCTTGGAGACCGCACCTGAAGGGGGGCGTCAGTGCCTGTGTAGTTCTGTCCTACACCAAGCCTTGGAGACCGCACCTGAAGGGGGGGTCAGTGCCTGTGTAGTTCTGTCCTACACCAGGCCTTGGAGACCGCACCTGAAGGGGGGGTCAGTGCCTGTGTAGTTCTGTCCTACACCAGGCCTTGGAGACCGCACCTGAAGGGGGGGGTCAGTGCCTGTGTAGTTCTGTCCTACACCAGGCCTTGGAGACCGCACCTGAAGGGGGGGGTCAGTGCCTGTGTAGTTCTGTCCTACACCAGCCTTGGAGACCGCACCTGAAGGGGGGGGTCAGTGCCTGTGTAGTTCTGTCCTACACCAGGCCTTGGAGACCGCACCTGAAGGGGGGGTCAGTGCCTGTGTAGTTCTGTCCTACACCAGGCCTTGGAGACCGCACCTGAAGGGGGGGGGTCAGTGCCTGTGTAGTTCTGTCCTACGCCAGGCCTTGGAGACCGCACCTGAAGGAAGGGGGTCAGTGCTTGTGTAGTTTGTCCTACACCAGGCCTTGGAGACTACACCAGGCCTTGGAGACCGCACCTGAAGGGGGGGTCAGTGCCTGTGTAGTTCTGTCCTACACCAGGCCTTGGAGACCGCACCTGAAGGGGGGGGGTCAGTGCCTGTGTAGTTCTGTCCTACGCCAGGCCTTGGAGACCGCACCTGAAGGAAGGGGGTCAGTGCTTGTGTAGTTTGTCCTACACCAGGCCTTGGAGACCGCACCTGAAGGGGGGGGTCAGTGCCTGTGTAGTTCTGTCCTACACCAGGCCTTGGAGACCGCACCTGAAGGGGGGGGGTCAGTGCCTGTGTAGTTCTGTCCTACACCAGGCCTTGGAGACCGCACCTGACGGGGGGGGGGTCAGTGCCTGTGTAGTTCTGTCCTACACCAAGTCTTGGAGACCGCACCTGAAGGGGGGGTCAGTGCCTGTGTAGTTCTGTCCTACACCAGGCCTTGGAGACCGCAACTAAGGAGGCAGTCAGTGCCTGTTAGTTCTGTCCTACACCAGGCTTTGGAGACGCACCTGATGGGGGGTCAGTGCCTGTGTGTTCTGTCTACCAGGCTTGGAAGACCACCAAGCGGGGTGTCAGTGCTGTGTATTCTGTCCTACACAGGATTGGAGACCGCACCTGAGGGGGGGGTCAGTGCCTGTGTAGTTCTGTCTACACTAAGCCTTGATACCGCACCTGTAAGGGGGGGGGGGTCAGTGCTGTTAGTTCTGTCCTCACCAAGCCTTGGAGACCTCACCTGAAGGGGGGGGGGGGTCAGTGCCTGTGTAGTTGTCCTACACCAGGCCTTGGAGACCGCACCTGAAGGGGGGGGGGTCAGTGCCTGTGTAGTTCTGTCCTACACCAGGCCTTGGAGACCGCACTTGAAGGGGGGGTCAGTGCCTGTGTAGTTGTCCTACACCAGGCCTTGGAGACCGCACCTGAAGGGGGGGGTCAGTGCCTGTGTAGTTCTGTCCTACACCAGGCCTTGGAGACCGCACCTGAAGGGGGGGGGTCAGTGCCTGTGTAGTTCTGTCCTACACCAGGCCTTGGAGACCTGCATACAAAAACATGTTATCTTTTACATGCACAGTGTGCACACTTGTGCATTTGTGTGTGCATGTCATGTTTGGTGTGTGCACATTTGTGTGTGTAGTCACCTATGTGGTTGCAAGGATCAAGTCACAGCTGGTGTGTCTGTATGTGTGTAAATATCAAGGGCTCCTTCAGTACAAAAATAAATAAAATGGAAGACTTTACCACTACTGCTGCTGCTTGTGCCTAAGTCAGTCTTTTCTCGATTTTGACACTGATAACGCATCCGTAGCGAAATATTGATTGATTTATTTCTGTTCATCTGACGTTTTGACAAAGCAAGTTGTTAGTGCAAGCATTTTGCAGTTCAGTATCCTTAATACACAACACATGGTACAATTATTTTTCCTTTTACTTTTTAAATTTCCATATATTGTGAGAGGGAAGTGAAATCCTTAAACTCTAGAGTAATAGCCTAAATACTTAATAAAGTTGTTTCCATAAAACAAATGTTTATTTTTTTTTGTTTTTGTTACAGGGTGTTAATCAGGACAAGTTAGGAATCTACATAAAGAGTGTGGTTCCTGGAGGTGCTGCAGACCAGGTCAGTACAAGCTCAACCCTGTAATGGCAACAAGGACCCTGAGGTCAGGTAACAGGTTTCACTGTTAGCATAGTATCTTTCTCTCTGACTACTCAGCTTAATTGTTCATCCTTTAAGGACAGTGGTTGTAATGGTCTCTATAAATTCTTTAAAGGCCATTCTGCCCTTACCCTTACCCAAAAAGTGTGTGCTAGTATTCAGCATCTATAAATCCTGAAATGATTGGTTGTGGCACAAAAATACCATTGTTTCTTCCATGAAGAAGTTGTAAGTTTACCAGTAGAGAGCACTTAAAACCAAATATACCATTGTTCAGTTCCCAGCTGGGGTGAAAAGTGTGGGCAAGTCTCCTTAAACTTGCTGTACCCTGTTCACCTTGTAAATAGGCACCTAGCCTCTAGTCAACTGATGTAGGTCGCATTCTGGTCTTTGAATGGAAGATGGAAGTTTAACTACCATAAGCCATCGTTATGGCTTGCATTATCAGTTAAAATAGCCCAACTCTCAGTACCAGCCACAAGTAAACTGGTAATATTGTAAGAAGCTTTGTAATACTGTAATGGCACTGCATTACTACCCTAAAATAAGTCCACCCAGATTTTGGTACTACGTATATTCACTAGATTTTAGGGATCAGGATTCATACAACACAAACCATCATAGCCCTTGTAAAGCAGCAGGAGCAACAAAATAAACAATAGCTCTATATTTTTATATTATTTTAATCTTTTTCTGTCTTGGGCACTCATAACATGGGTATAACACTATAATGCCTCTACTAAACAATGAACTCATCTCTGATGAGGGATAGGAGGAGTGGCAGAAGGTATGAAATTGTAATTGACAAGTTAGATAAGATTGGGTGGTTGTTTTTTAAATTAAAACAATTAGTTTTAAGGAGATACAGGGTGTACATCTCAGAATAGCCTTTGGGAATGCTCAATGAAGAATCCTTTAAGACTTTACACACAATGATTGAGGCCCATCTTAGAATAGGCAGTACTATAGCCATAGAACCCCCATCTGAGCTAGCACATTCAGAGGTTTGAAAAGGTAATTGCAACCAGACAATACCCAAAACTGAGGGAAGTGCATTATGAGAAGAGACATAATGATATTGATGCTGGAAGAGAGGATGATAAGCGGAAATGTAATTACATCAAACGAGATACCTAGAGTAATTGATAAGGTTAATAGGAACAGACTATTTGAAATGCAAGGATCAAAAACAAGGGAACATAGATGGATGCCAGAAATGAATGAGTCTTGTCAGGATAATGAGGAATAAGAATAAGTTGGATACAGAAGTGATGGAGGCAAATTTGGTACACAGTTTTAAGGGAAGGGCAGGAACCAGTAATGCCATGTGTTGATGCTTAAGAGGCAGAGCCAGGAGCCATGACCCAACTCCTGCAAACATAAATTGGCGAGTACATTCTGGGGTCAGAAGTCTACCATTAACCAAGTGAGAAAAATGGAGACTGTAATTTTTATTATTATTATTATTATTATTATTATATAAAACTACAATGTAGTAGTAGTAGGTTGGTAGACACCAACCACCCAGGGTGGTACTACCGTCCTGCCAAGTGAGTGTAAAATGAAAGCCTGTAATTGTTTTACATGATGGTAGGATTGCTGGTGTCTTTTTTTCCCCGTTTCATAAACATGCAAGATTTCAGGTACGTCTTACTACTTCTACTTGCACTTCGGTCACACTACACATACATGTACACGTTTATGTATACAAACTCGTCTGAGTTTTCTTTGATTGTATCTTAATACTTCTTGTAGTAGTAGGCCTTGGACAGAGATGTGTGATGTCACCTTGGTTGTTTAATATATATATTGATGGGGTAGCAAGAGAAGTAAATGCGAGGGTCTTGGCAAGAGGCGTGGAGTTAAAATATAAAGAATCACACACAAAGTGGGAGTTGTCACAGTTGCTCTTTGCTGATGACACTGTGCTCTTGGGAGATTCTGAAGAGAAGTTGCAGAGGTTGGTGGATGAATTTGGTAGGGTATGTAAAAGAGGAAAATTAAAAGTGAATACAGGAAAGAGTAAGGTTATGAGGATAGCAAAAAGATTAGGTGATGAAAGATTGGATATCAGATTGGAGGGAGAGAGTATGGAGGAGGTGAATGTATTCAGATATTTGGGAGTGGACGTGTCAGCGGATGGGTCTGTGAAAGATGAGGTGAATCATAGAATTGATGAGGGGAAAAGGGTGAGCAGTGCACTTAGGAGTCTGTGGAGACAAAGTACTTTGTCCTTGGAGGCAAAGAGGGGGAATGTATGAGAGTATAGTTTTACCAATGCTCTTATATGGGTGTGAAGCATGGGTGATGAATGTTGCAGCGAGGAGAAGGCTGGAGGCAGTGGAGATGTCATGTCTGAGGGCAATGTGTGGTGCGAATATAATGCAGAGAATTCATAGTTTGGAAGTTAGGAGGAGGTGCGGGATTGCCAAAACTGTTGTCCAGAGGGCTGAGGAAGGGTTGTTGAGGTGGTTCGGACATGTAGAGAGAATGGAGTGAAACAGAATGACTTCAAGAGTGTATCAGTCTGTAGTGGAAGGAAGGCGGGGTAGGGGTCGGCCTAGGAAAGGTTGGAGGGAGGGGGTAAAGGAGGGTTTTGTGTGCGAGGGGCTTGGACTTCCAGCGGGCATGCGTGAGCGTGTTTGATAGTGAATGGAGACAAATGGTTTTTAATAATTGACGTGCTGTTGGAGTGTGAGCAAAGTAACATTTATGAAGGGATTCAGAGAAACCGGCAGGCCGGACTTGAGTCCTGGAGATGGGAAGTACAGTGCCTGCACTCTGAAGGAGGGGTGTTAATGTTGCAGTTTAAAAACTGTAGTGTAAAGCACCCTTCTGGCAAGATAGTGATGGAGTGAATGATGGTGAAAGTTTTTCTTTTTCGAGCCACCCTGCCTTGGTGAGAATTGGCCAGTGTACTAATAAAAAAATAATAATAATACTTATTGCTCTTCCTTTTATATCCATGGAGAAGTGGAATAAGAATCTTTCCTCCATAAGCCATGCGTGTTGTAAATGCCGGGAACAATGGGCTAATAACCCCTTTTCCTGTATGGCCTACTAAAAAGAAAAAGAAAACCGTCAAAGTGGGATGTTTGAATGTGCATGGATGTTGTGCGAATGATTAAGAGATGATTGTGGATGTTATGAATGAGAAGAAGCTGGATGTCTTGGCTTTAAGTGAAACAGAGCTGAAGGGGATGGAAGAGTTTCAGTGGGGATAAATAAATGGGATTAGGTCAGGGGTTTCAAATAGTTAGAGCTAAAGGAGGAGAAGCAATAATGTTGAAGGATAAATTATGGCAGGAAAAGAGGGAATATAAATGTATAAATTCAAGGATTATGTGGAGTAAAATAAGGGTTGGATGTGAAAAGTGGGTTATAGTAAGCATTTATGCACCTGGAGAAGAGAGAAGTGTAGAGGAGAGAGATTTTGGGAAATGTTGAGCGAGTGCATGGGGAGTTTTGAACCAAGTGTGAGAGTACTTGTGGTTGGGGATTTCGATGCTGAAGTGGGTACAAATGTTGTGGAGGGCGTAGTAGGTAAATTTGGTGAGCCGGGGTAAATGAAAATGGGGAGCCTTTAATTGAGCTATGTGCAGAAAGAGGTTTGGTAATAAATAATACACATGTTATGAGAAAAGAGGATAAATAAGTATACAAGGTATGATATAGCATGTAATGAAAGTAGTTTGTTAGATTATGTATTGGTGGATAAAAGGTTGATGGGTAGGCTTCAGGATGTACATGTTTATAGAGGGGCAACTGATATATCAGATCATTATTTAGTTGTTGCTACAGTTAGAGTAAGAGGTAAATGGGACAAAAAGAAAATGGCAACAACAAGTAAGAGAGAGGTGAAAGTGTATAAACTAAGGGAGGAGGAAGTTAGGGTGAGATATAAATAACTATTGGCAGAAAAGTGGGCTAGTACAAGTATGAGTAGTGGGGGAGGGTTGAAGACGGTTGGAATAATTTAAAAAATGCAGTATTAGAGTGTGGGGCAGAAGTTTGTGGCTATAGGAGGGTGGGTGCAGGAGGAAAGAGGAGTGATTAGTGGAATGATGAAGTAAAGTGTATGATAAAAGAGAAAAAGGTGGCTTATGAGAGGCTTTTACAAAGCAGAAGTGTTATAAGAAGAGCAGAGTATATGGAGAGTAAAAGAAAGGTGAAGAGAGTGGGGAGAGAGTGCAAAAGGAGAGCATATGATAGTGGGAGAGGAACTGTGAAGAAATTTTTATGAAAATAAGAAAAAAAATTTGGAGTGAGATAAGTTAAGAAAGCCTAGGGAACAAATGGATTTGTCAGTTAAAAACAGAGTAGGGGAGTTAGTAGATGGGGAGCTGGGGGCATTGGGTAGATGGCAAGAATATTTTGAGGAACTTTTAAACTTTGATGAAGTAAGGGAGGCGGTAATTTCAAGCACTAGTCAGGGAGGTATAACGTCTTTTAGGAGTGAAGAAGAGCAGGATGTGAGTGTGGGGGAGGTGCATGAGGCATTATGTAAAATGAAAGAGGGTAAAGCAGCTGGAACTGACGGGATCATGACAGAAATGTTAAAAGCAGAGGGGTATAGTGTTGGAGTGGTTGGTATTTTTGTTTAATAAATGTATGAAAGAGGGGAAGGTACCTAGGGATTGGCAGAAAGCATGTATAGTTCCTTTATATAAAGGGAAGGGGGACAAGAGAGATTGTAAAAATTATAGGGGAATAAGTTTACTGACTACACCAGGAAAAGTGTACGGTAAGGTTATTATTGAAAGAATTAGAGGTAAGACAGAGTAAGATTTTGGATGAGCAAGGAGGCTTTAGAGTGGGTAGGGGATATGTAGATCGTGTTTACACTGAAGCATATATGTGAACAGTATTTAGATAAAGGTAGGGAAGTTTTCATTGCATTTATGGATTTAGAAAAGGCATATGATAGTGGATAGGGAAGCAATGTGGCAGATGTTGCAAGTACATATATGGAATAGGTAGTAAGTTACTAAATGCTGTAAAGAGTTTTTATGAGGACAGTGAGGCTCAGGTTAGGGTTTGTATAAGAGAGGGAGATTACTTCCCACTAAAAGTAGGTCTTAGACAGGGATATGTAATGTCACCATGTTTGTTTAATATACAGTGGACCCCCGCTTAATGATCACCTCCCAATGTGACCAATTATGTAAGTGTATTTATGTAAGTGCGTTTGTATGTGTTTTGTTTGGGGTCTGAAATGGACTAATCTACTTAACAATATTCCTTATGGGAACAAATTCGGTCAGTACTGGCACCTAAACATACTTCTGGAATGAAAAAATATTGTTAACCGGGGGTCAACTGTATTTACAGATTGGATTGCAAAAACAGTAAATGCTAGGGTGTTGAAGAGAGGAGTGGGATTAAATTATGGGGGAATCAAAATACAAAATGGGAGTTGACAGAGTTACTTTTTGCAGATACTGTGCTCATGGGAGATTCTAAAGAAAAGTTGTGAAGGTTAGTGGATGAGTTTGGGAGGGTGTGTAAAGGTAGAATGTTGAAAGTGAACATAGATAAGAGTAAGGTGATGATGGTATCAAATGATTTAGATAAATAAAATAACTGGATATCACATAGGAGAGAGGGAGTATGGAAGAAGTGAATGTTTTCAGATATTTGGGAGTTGACGTGTCAGCGGATGGGTTTATGAAGGATGAAGTTAACCATAGAATTGATGAAGTAAAAAAGGTGAGTGGTGCATTGAGGTATATATATGTGGAGACAAAAATTTTATCTTGGAGGCAAAGAAGGGAATATATGAAAGTATAGTGGTACCAACTCTTATATGGGTGTGAAGCTTGGGTTGTAAATGCAGCAGCGAGGAGGCGGTTGGAGGCAGTGGAGATGTCATGCCTAAGGACAATGTGTGGTGTAAATATTACGCAGAAAATTCGGAGTGTGGAAATTAGGAGAAGGCGTGGAGTTAATAAAAGTATTAGTCAGATGGCTGAAGAGGGGTTGTTGAGGTGGTTTGGTCATTTAGAGAGAATGGATCAAAGTAGAATGACATGGAGTGTATAAATCTATAGGGAAAGGAAGGCGGGGTAAGGGTCATCCTTGAAAAGGTTGGTGGGAGGGGCTTGGACTTCCAGCAAGCGTGTGTGAGCGTGTTAGATAGGAGTGAATGGAGATGAATGGTTTTTGGGACCTGACGAGCTGTTGAGTGTTAGCAGGGTAATATTTAGTGAAGGGATTCAGGGAAACTGGTTATTTTTATATAGCCAGACTTGAGTACTGAAGTGGGAAGTACAATGCCTGCACTTTAAAGGAAGGGTTTGGGATATTGGCAGTTTGCAGGGATATGTTATACGTATATCTTTATATATGCTTCTAAACTGTTGTATCTGGGCACCTCTGCAAAAACAGTGATTATGTATAAGTGAGGTTAATGTGTTGAATGATGAAAGTATTTTCTTTTTGGGGATCTTCTTTCTTTTTGGGTCACCCTGCCTCGGTGGGAGACACCGACTTGTTGAAAAAAAAAATGATTTTAATGTGTTGCTTTCTGTATCTTCTTGCTAATATTGAGATAATCTGAAATTTTATGTGATTAAACACCCCTCAAGGGAGGTGCTGTGATGCCAGTGAGGAGTTCTTGATCCAAGGAATTGGACCTGTCCTTCCCTTGGAGTGAGCCTAAGTGCCTCCTTTTTCCTAGACACTATACGACTCATATGAGTTTAGTGCTTCCTATATTAATAATAATAATTTGTGACTTCTAGATTAGACTTTAACAAAAGTATTAATTGTTAGTTTTTAAAAAAAATATAAAATGTGTACTCTTGTACTCAAGATAGGTACTCTAACAATATAAGAACTAACGTGAGCTTCTTTAACAGGATGGGCGACTGCAAGCAGGAGATCAGCTTTTATCAGTGGATGGAAAATCCCTGATTGGTATCACCCAAGAGCGTGCAGCAGAGTACATGATGGAAACTGGTCCAGTGGTGACCTTAGAAGTGGCTCGACAAGGAGCTATTTACCATGGATTGGCTACAATCCTCTCTCAGCCATCGCCACATGTTAATCGAGGTGAGACGAGATTTATTGTTAGTTATGAATACTCTTAACTATATTGTAGTAAATTTAAATTTTCTGGAAAGCATTTTCCAAGGAGCCTTCTATTTGCAGATGCAGTAGAATAAACAGCATGTGCATAACACTCAAGTATAATTGATATCATGGCTTTTACTAACATAATTCTGCAGAGCAGTGCTTCATTGTCAATGTGTTCAAACAAAGGATTTTAGTATGGTGGGAGATATGATTTATACACTAACTAGTGTTGAGATTAATTTTGACTACTGCCTTTTTGAGACTAGTACAGTTCAGAGAAAAAGAACATGAAATCCTTTACTAAATCAGATTTTTTGGAATATGTACTTTCAACTTGGCAGTCAGATAGAGAGGATTTGAAATGTGACACTGTCCTAATGTTAATGATAAATTTTCTTTCATACTGCATGACATATATGGATTTCAGCCAAGTTTTTGTCGTGCATGTTAACTTGCAGGAACTACTGTATTACTAACACACACACTTGCTAAACACTAAGAGTTATTAGTTTGTATTTGCATGATAAATGTCCTTGGTAACAGCAAGACTTAGGGTAAAGGTTATTTAATATACAGGTCCTTGTGTTGACAGTACATATGTACTTCATTTTGTAATGAATAGTCTCCTGTAGATGTATTTTTCATTGTGATAAAACATTTAAATATTTGTGTAAGGCATGTTTAAATGTGTTGCTTTGCCAAAGGTATATAGCTAACAAGATTATGATGCTAAGCTAACCACTAACTGTTCTAGCATCCCTGCGGAAGATGCGTCCTCGGGCAGAGGAGGCTCCTCGTGCTGCCATGACTAACAGCCAGTCCACGCCTAACATGGGCGGGTACAACGAGCGGCTGGTGGATTGGAATCAGCCCCCTCGCCAGCATCCCCTCCCCCCAACCTCCTCCCACAGCTCTGTGATGGCCAGATCTAGCCCCAATCTGGCAGCTCCAGTTGAAGGTACAGATGTGAACCATTTGGCCTCGGCTCCTACTAACAAGCCAGCCTACGCTCAATCCAAGCTGTCCCCTTTACGTACCTCCCTTCCTAATTTGGGGCCCTCTATTCTTCCTCTTTATCCTCCTCCACTCATATCTGTCATTCCTTCTGAGCGGGTAGAGGTTGGTATCGAGCACCGCACGATGGATCATACTCGCAGTAATCCTAATTTGCCAAAATATACTTTTACCCCTCCATCAGAAACGAGCTCAACCTCCTGTAATGTATCCACCTCCTCATCCTCGTCAACGTCTTCATCATGGAGACAACACCAGCGAGATGTAGGTCATGGAGCTGGGTGTGCTGCTATCAGAAGAGGCTCTGGTCCACCTAGCTTGATAGCTGATGGTGGTATAGACCTCAGTTGTCACATGCATGATGATGCTAAGCCTTGGCGCAGCCTAGTTGATGTTTCTGTAAAAGGGAATGTTGACAATACTCTAGATGATTACTGTGAAAGGACCCCTACAACCACTAGTCCAATGAACACAGAGCATCCTATAATCCCCCAACTGGTTTCTCGTGTATCTTGTCCTCTCCTACCATCTCGTCCAGCTGTGTGCCCTTCCAGTGAAATTTATTCAATCAGGCGCCGTCCTAATTTGCGTCATCAGATGAGCATAGCTCCTTCTATAGCACAGTCTTCTCCTTCCCTCCTGTTGGTCCACTCCCCCCCTTCTACCCCTCCTCCATCACAGGCGAATTCTCTGCAGCTGCAACAAACATCTAGTGCCGCCCCCATCGGTAACTGAGTGAGCCCCCGTGGCACAGTGAGAACCTTCTGCTTCTCTCTGTCAGCACCCTCTGTGTGAACTTTGCATGTTTCCACCTGCCCCAATGCTAATTCATTGTGAACATGCCATATCGTATCATTTTCACGAATACTGAATGTACTTTCTTGCAGCACGTAATTTAAGAGTACAGTACAATTATTTTTATAACAGTATTATCAGCACACTTCTGGCAAGACAACTATTGAATGAGTGATGGTGACTCTTTTTTGGGGGGGAGGGGGGACCCTGCATTGGTGGGAGGTAACCAGTGTGTTGAAAAATAAATCGCCAGTGTGGAACCATTCCTCAAGTTCAAGATAAGATATATGATGGGTGACATAGTATTCAGTTCACTACCCACTCAGATTCGGGACAAAGCCTTGTTCATTATGAATATTTCATCAAATCTCCATACTCCATACTTATGCAGTACAATATACTGTATACTGCACTATAGTACTAGAAAATGATTGAAATGGCCATTCTTTTTATTTATTATACTTGCATAATGCAATAGTGCATCTGTAAGCAAATTTTGCACATGTTTCATTAAATATTTTCTCAATACTGTAATACATAATTAATATATAATTTTGTTAGGGGCTCTCGCTTGCTTTTCAGAGATTTTGTAAGTACTAGTAGTAAATATCTTCACTGATTTGTTATAATTAAAACTACTGGGCTTTCCACAACTGAAATTGAACTTTCATGGCTGTAACATAATGTACGGGGCAGGAATGGATGATTATTCTGCACGGTTTTGCATGCACATAGTTATTCCCTACTAACACTTTTTATTTATTTTTTTTTTCTCTCCATTTTTTCCATTTTTGGATTCTGTCTTAGAAATTTTTTACTACAAAAGCATTTTTTGCATATTGTTTACCATACACTATTTTTTTTTGTCAGATATGTATGTAGTCTGAGTTTATATAGTAGTCAGTGTTAAAAAGCAGATGTTTACTACATGTATTGTTAACTTAGTGCATTAATAAATGTGATTACAGAATAGGCTGTAGAAATTATATACATAGTAAAATATATTTATTTGTGACAAAACTGGTGCTAGGTAGTAACCTTTGTTTCAAAACATTCATTGTCACTGGTACAGTAGAGCCCCCACTTATTTGGCGGGTTAGGTTCCAGGCTACTGCCATGAAGTGGAAATTGCCGTAAAGCAAATCACTTTTTTTCATTTAGAATTGCATATAAATGGTTCATAACATGTTTACACTATAATATATTGAGTTAGCAATAGAACTATGCATTTAAAAGCAATAAAAAAGTGAAATGCAAATACAGTGGACCCCCGCATAACGATCACCTCCGAATGCGACCAATTATGCAAGTGTATTTATGTAAGTGCGTTTGTACGTGTATGTTTGGGGGTCTAAAGTGGACTAATCTACTTCACAATATTCCTTATGGGAACAAATTCGGTCAGTACTGGCACCTGAACATACTTCTGGAGTGAAAAATTATCGTTAACCGGGGGTCCACTGTACAGTACACTATTATCTTAAAATATTTGTAGTCTTAACCCTTAAATGGTCCAAACAGATCGATGTTCAAATTCGTAGTGCTACAAAAGTAGATCTACTTCTTTTTACATATTTTCAAATATAACAAAAAAAAAAATGTAGATAAAATTTTTTTTACACTTTTTCAAATGTAAAACAAAAAAGATGATCTACATTTTTTTACATGCTTTCAGATGTTGAAAAAATTTATATATACGTTTGGACCATTTAAGGGTTAATGTAGGGTGAGAGAGGTGAGTAGTATATTGTAGAAAGTCCGGTGTGGTAGTTAATGTGCAAATATGTGACATTAATGGAGAGATGCGGAGCTCACGGAGAATGTAAACAGAGACACGCGGTGACCATATTAGCGAGTCAGGTGGGGGAGGGAATGAGGGAGCCATATGACGAGCTTTGGTCATAATTTGAAATGTCCGTAAAGCAGGGACCTACTGTATATTCATATTACGACGATAATTCCCAGCAAAACACTTTCTTGCAGGTTAGTCTTATTGAATACTTCCCCTGCCATTGTTATTTTTATTTTTGGCCAGTTGTGGTTCATGAGCATTAGTTTCACTTCAGAATTTTGTGTGTGAGTGTACTCGCCTAATTGTGGTTGCAGGGGTCCAGACTCAGCTCCTGGCCCTGCCTCTTCACTGAGTGCTACTAGGTCCTTTCCCTGCTCCATGAGCTTTATCATACCTCATCTTAAAGCTATGTATGGTTCCTGCCACCACTACTTCACTTGCTAGGCTATTCCACTTCCTGATTACTCTGTGACTGAAGAAATACTTCCTAACATCCCTTTGACTCGTCTGGGTCTTCATCTTCCAATTGTGACCCCCTTGTTTCTGTGTCCCCTCTCTGGAGCATCCTGTCTCAGACCACCTTGTCTATTCCATGCAGTACTTTGAATGTTGTCATGTCTCCCCAAACCCTCCTGTCCTCCAGTGTCGTCAGGCCGATTTCCCTTAACCTTTCTTCATAGGACATTCCCCTTAGCTCTGGAACTAACAGTGTGTGTGTGTGTGTGTGTGTGTGTGTGTGTGTGTGTGTGTGTGTGTTGTGTTTGTGTGTGTGTTTGTGTGTGTTTTGTGTGTTTGTGTGTGTGTGTGTGTGTTTTGTGTGTGAGTGTGTGTGTATGTGTGTGTGGTGAGAGAGTGGTGAGAGATGTTATATATATACAGTGGACCCCCGCATAACGATTACCTCTGAATGCGACCAATTATGTAAGTGTATTTATGTAAGTGCATTTGTACGTGTATGTTTGGGGGTCTGAATGGACTAATCTACTTCACAATATTCCATGGGGAACAAATTTGGTC